CGCTTGCGTAAAAAGCGTGCATCGCAGACGAACTGTCCGTGATGAGTGGAGCAACCCCGTACTGCGTACCATTTATATTTACTGTCCTATGGGTTGTTTCCGGGACAATAAACCAGGGTGGCTGTTCAGTGGGCCTGGCAGGTAAGCTAGGGCCACTGGCCACCTCACGTTGTGCTTGTGAGATAAAGAGGTGAAGGTTTTCGGTTGCTAGTTCATCCGTGGTGATCGAGACCGACGCTTGCGTAAAAGCGTGCGTCGCAGACGAACTGTCCGTGATGAATATAACTGGTGCTGTTGGAGGGGTAATGGTTTTAAAGTGCTAGTGCTTCCGTGCTTCCAGCAATACTCGGTTCTATCACACTATAATCGGATAGTCTTGGTCATTTTCAAGCCATACCCCTTGCCACTCTCACGTCTACACCGTCGCCAGATGATGGAGAACTGCTCCATAGCCGTTTTAAAGCAACTATTTGTCGTCCGTAAGCTCCCACTACACTCAGGGAGTCCAGATTTCTTGGGTTGAGAATGTTTGAAGTAGGGCCTGAAGTAGGGCTTCTGGGAGAATGCTGTTGTTGCGAGTTAATTTGCTGGCGCTGTGTCTGACATTCATAAAAACCGGCCGGACCCCTGGCGCTGAGAACGATGCCAGTTGGGGCACTCCGAGGTACGTTTGTCTAGTTTTAGAGCTAGTTTCCTGTGGGGTTTGCATAACTCATATACCAGTTCCTTGGTCACGTGTGAACTTTGAGACCAAATATCGAGCTCATCCGGATCTCGTTCAGTGACAGATATATGATCACTTTAAGCGCTCCAGTCGTTGAGTAGACGTCCGTGTTTACCCCTTCCCTTTTGCGAAGCATAGGCCCAGTACTAGCACCATTCCTTTCAGATACGCCAATTGCAATTCGATCGTGTGGAAGCTCCCCAGCATAAGCAAGTCGTCGGCGTAGATGATCAGTTGAAATCCGTTCTTTCTGCATAAGCTTCTCAGAACTTGCACGAGAAGATTGAAATAATAAGGGCTGAAGGAGGCGCCCATTGGTAGGGCTAGATAACACCATAGCCTCCCAGTGTTGTTGTAAAATTGCCAATTTAGCGGATTCTTGACCTGTAGCCATCCTTTATTTCCGCTAATATCATGTAATGTAGTCCCCTTTGCGAGTGACTAGGGATGCGATCGAACCCCTACATGCGGAATTTCGGGGTTCGGCTACCGTTATTGATATTGGTCGGGGCGATAATGCCCCGAGCCCGAAGTTGATCGCTCTTCAGAATGAAGAACGATTTGTGAATGCGACCCCGACCGACCTCCTCTGGTCTTGCTAGTCATATGTTCTGAGGCTGTTCGTGTCAGCCATGATAGTTTTGTGTAGCGCTGACTTCCGGGCTTGGAATGTATTGCCCCCCACCCCGGTACTCACTCAGAGGGAGTGGGGTTGTTTTCCATGGTATCGATACCCCATACTTTATCGCCCGAAGGAATACACGGCCAGCACCTGCTTTGCGCCAGGTCTTGAGTTTGCTACATATTCTGAGTGCTAAAGAAGTGGTCGCAGGTGTATCGTTGTACTGGTGTGATTGTACCTTAAGCTTCTTGTTCTACCACCGTCTTGCCCGCCACTTTGGCCAAGAGCAGGTCGTGCTTTCGTTTGTTGTCGGCTGCGAAGAATTTTGACAGAAGACCTTCGTAACGATATTCGGCGCGTGCTTGGTTCAATACGCCGTTTGCTAGTCCCGCACGGTAAGGAGTACGTATGTGCTTAGTCTGGTAAACTATCAGGTCGAGCTCCTCTAGCTCTAGGATTTTTTGTCGCATACGTTTGTGTCAGTTCCTCAGCAGTAGTGCAGTAAGATGTGGCCTGCTTCAGTTCCCACAAAGCGAAATTGAAAATGATTGATGGACGCTTTCAACTCGTATTTTCTTGGGATACCAAGAAAGGACTTGACACGGCAGGTTGGCCTGGCCAGTTGGGAATGTTACTTTCTTGAACGAAATTAGGAATAATAGTATCTATTTCAAAGGTGATAAGTTACAATGTATGTACATATGGTATGGCTCTCAGTGGTTCGAGGAAGATCGGTTGGACGTAGTGGCCAGTCGATTCCCGTTTGAAGCTTGGGCCAAGTGAGTCGACGATGGTGGATATGCGCTGGGTCAATTCAGGCAGGTGCTGACAAAAAACTGACACCAACGAGTGTGCCACGTATTCGCTTGCTGACCTACTAGGTAGCGTATCCACCTATGTGGTACGGATCGGGAAATCACCGAGAGAATACTTCTTGGCGTTGTCTTCAACCACAGCGTTGCCTGGTGTGCGTCGTTTCTGTTGGAAGTCAAGTATCCACACAAGAGTTGTTTGCGTGCGGGGAGGAGAGTACTACCACAACGGGTTGTTTTTTCGAGAGGGCACAGCCAGGAATCCGAGGCCTTTTAAATGTCGAATAAGTCGTGATCGAACAAACGTCTCCTGCTCGTCGTGAGTTAGTACGAATGGTTGCGAACTGCCTTGATCCATTTTTCACGAGGGTGAAGCTTGGAGAGAGTTTTGGTGCTAACTAGCACCCTGGACTCTTACAAACAAGGGACTTTCTATTTAGATGAAGAGAAAGACCAATGAGTATTATTGGTTGTAGTACGTGTCTTTAAATACCCTCAGTCCCTTGAGGGGTGAGTGAATTAAATACGAACCTGGCTGACGGGGATTTACTATCTAGATGAGAAATCCCCCTAAAAAGCCAGGGAGTATATATCTATGAATAAATGTATATTTTTAAACTATTATTAATAATATAAATTTCTTTCGAGTCAACCAACGTATTTCGGGCACCTCGTGCGTAATAAATGCTATCGAAGTATTCGCTATATAGTTTATCGTTCGAAAAATCTTGACAGTTCCCGCTACACCGTTGTGTCCAAGCCGCAGGGTCCTTATGGTCGCACTTTGTGATTTTTCTCGGGTTGAACCGGGTGTGCTTAATATCTCGATTGCAATTGGATCTGCCTATGGCATGCCACTCATGAGCATTTTTAACTATCGCGTTCAGATGAAGACATTTCAAGGCTGCTAATCGGGTTAAAGCCCACTTTTTCATCCTCAAAAGCAAACCAAAAGCTAATTACTTCTAAAATTATATTTACATTCGTAATATGTACTGCAAATAGACAACATTGCGAATTCATCGATCCCAAAGTAAATGCGGCTACACAACAGCACATAAATATATGAAGCAGACAGCGATAGACTATCGAAAATTTTCTTATCACGATTCAGGAATTTTTAGCTCTGAAGCAGATTGTGCTTCAAATAGTCACATATTTGTGCACCTATTTCGGGAAGCCAGAAGAAAAAAAAAGAAAGAAAAAATCTCAAAACATTTAAAGCCACGCTATTTCTATATTATTAATGACTCTCATCTAGATAGAAGTATATCACTATGCCCAGCAATTAACTGCCAGTATCAGCGGTAAGGAGCACCGGGCTGCGCACCACCAGGGGGAGGCTGTCCCATCGCTTGCTGCTGTTGCAAGTGTGGTGGTTGGAACCCTCCCTGCTGAGGAAACTGCTGCTGTGATTGTTTCCCGTGTGGTACGAACCCCTGCTGTGGCTGTTGCGGTGCATAACCTTGTTGTTGTGGTTGCTGTCCATAGCCTTGCGGTGATTGTTGTGCTTGTGCTTGTGTTTGAAGCGGGAAGCCTTGTGGCTGTAGCGGTGGCTGACCTGGGAGCGGGCTTCCAAAAGATTGCTGTCCACCGGCCTATGCAAAAAACGACGATAGAATTAAACTCATGGCCCTGGTGCAACTAGATAAGCTCTACTAGTTGTTTCAACACAAGATTAGTAAGCATGGGTAAGCCACAGGTATATGGGCGTGAGAGGCCATCACGAGAGACACGAAATTTATATACATAGCAACGACAAAGACTGCTCCAACGAAGAAATCATAGGTCCGAATCTACGAATGAAGTGGCGAAAAGCCGGGCATACTTCAATTGATTTGTACTCAACTAACTGATGCGCTTAGAGATTTGTCGCGCTCGTCGATTACATCAAATCAAGTATTATAAACAGTCTTCCGATCGCTGTGGCATGTCTATCACGTGTCGATCGAAGAATGGAAGTGAAAGTACTCCATTTTTATGCAAACCTTATCCATACCAGCGACATATTGATACGAAGAAATCGATATATTCTATGTAAGTGGCGAATTCTGTCAAGTATAAGGCGATCGTGATACATTTACACCGTCCGAACACAAAAAAAAAATTTAGTAAGAGGAATACATTCTGATACTAAGCACCTGCAGTGTACCTTTCATGTAGGTGGCAAACTATGTCACCATAAGGCGATCGTGAAACATTCACATCGTTTAGACACAAAAAAAAACCGTATTTTACGGGTGAAATGCATTTAGTAACTAAAACTCCACGCCCATAAGAGTACAAAAGAAATACCTGACCAGGTTGCATAATACTTGCATTTTGCGGCTGTTGAGCTTGGTATCCTGTCACGTTGAAATAAAAATTGGAATGTACAATGAATTTTAAAACAAACTCCGGAATAATGACTTGTACAGAGACTGCAAATCACCCAAAGAAGTCTTCGCGAGATATTGTACCTACCTGTAGAGGATAATTACTATCAAATTACTCGAGATTTCACAGTTGTGCGATTATATTCTGTCACACTTTGAGACATTGCACAGTAATAGTCAAAACTGCGACGACAACTCTATCATCTCCGCACATGCAAGCAGAACGGCAATAAGTGGTACAAAGGGGACGTACCTCCGTACTGATTGTTTGAGCCGGGCGGCATACCCATTGTCAAATTCCCACTGTTCGGAGATTGCTATACGAGCAATTAAGGGAGTGACCATAGGAATTTAGTATACAAACAATATTCGGTTATTCATTTCCTGATTCTGGTGTCATTGCATAATTTAACAAAGCATCCCTAAGGTTCGTGAAGGCGCAGCCAGGACGGTGCGAATGAGATATAGTCGACATGTTTTCTTGGAACCACCGAGAACTCCACGCATCACCGACATTCGAAGCCACTCACCATCATGCTCGGCTGTTGGAACTGTCCTGCCTGCGGCGAGTTATTGCCCTGTGGCTGCGCATAACCTTGCTGTGCGGTATCTCCGTACATCTGCGCATGCTGGGAAGCGGCAGAAGGCCGCATGTTTCGCCTTTTGTTCTTTGTTTCCTTTGAATTGGCTGCAGAAGCAGTTGTGGCACCAAACAAGGCTGTAGGAGGGTCATTCCATCCACGGTCGCTTTGCTTAGGCCTCAAGTGGGTGTATTGCTATTACAACAGGTAATACAATGTAAAGGGGCTTGATGAGACTGGATGTTAAACTCTGCGATCCATTCATGACACGAAGGGTACAAATACACATGGGCTTGCCCGTGTACAGATTGCCCGAGTGAAGCTTGGAAATCCATGCTATAGGATATACAACTCGAATATCAAGCATGATCTCAGAATTATGCCTCATGTGTAAACGATATATACATTAGTAATACAATCCAAACTACAACCAAGCTTCACAACGATGAAAAAATTATAAATACGAGGACTGAATATACCTGCAAACTTCAAGTCAATGGAATAAGACTTAATTATTACACGAACACATGACCATTTTGAAAAAACATATTTATGTAATGTAATGGAGTATATAAACAGGAACATTACATACGGAAACACTTTGAATGACTGATATTGGTCACGTATCCTTTCATATAAGCGCACGATGGGCGAATACATACGATATACGATATAAATATATATATATATAAATATATATATATATAAATATATATATATATAATATATATATATATATACATATATATATATACACATACACACACATATATATACATATACATATACATACATATATAAATACATACACACACATATATATACATACATATACATACACACACACACACACACATATATATATATATACAAACATACACAAACACACACACATCACGCATATATATATATATATATATCAACATATATACGTAAATCTAAATAGGGCTTTGTAAAAATACATACAAATGAAGAAAACGAATATACATAAAATCAGACACACATGTATATGTGTACACATTGACACATATAAATATTGATATGTACAAATGCTATATCTATATATAAATATATATACATATTAATGCGAGAATATATATATATATATATAAATATTTAAATATATAAATATGATGTGTGTACTCACTGACACCTAAAATTTTTGATATGTACAAATTCATATATATATATATATATATATATAAATCTATACATACATACATATATATATATATATATATATGTAAATCTATATATATAAACGACGAGAAAAATATATGTCTATACATATATATATATATATGTAAAAAAAAAAAAAGTAATATAGAATTTAAAATAATATAATAAGACATACATCCACACAACAGAAAACAAAAACACACAAACACACGCTAAAAAAAGCAAAAAAAAACACATACCCACACAAATATATATTAAACATAGATGCATGAAAACAGACATATACAAACGCTTAGAATATATATATATATAAATATATATATATATGTATATATATATACAGATATAAAATATATATATATATGAGCACACACACACATATATATATACAGACAAACACACACACATACAAGTATATATTCAAATATGCATATAAATGGATATATAACATATAATAGCTAAATAATAATAATAACAATAATAATGATGATAAGAATGTACATACATACACACCCACACACATACACACACATATATATATAATATATACATATATATTGAAACAAATAGATTAATACAACGAAAAACTATATATACATATATACATATATATATATAAATATATATATACATACATATTATATACATACAAGCATACAAACATACACACACACACACACACACACATATATATAAATATTTAAACAAATAGATTAATAAAAAGATAAACTATATATATATATATATATATATATATATATAAGATATACTGCACTTAGTTAACTTGTGTGTTAG